GCCATTGAACTAACTGCAGGCAACAAAGAGGGCATTAAATAGATCAACTCATCAATAATGGAGTATGGAGACTTTTAGCACTAAGTAGGTCAGTGGTACATATTTCTGGTTTACCCTTAAATAGTTACTCAGCAGCCCACTCACAGTGAACCCAGGCTGGCTTCTTTCTCTTCTTACTGGACAGTCTTCAGCATCACAAAATTTACCAAATCCTCCCATCCCTGTTGAGAACTCATGATGTGAAAATGCGTGGGGATTGAAGCTGGATAGCTGAAGGCTGTCATCCCGCATGTGTTGAGAAGAGCGTTGATATTGCTTATTCTGTATCAGCTAGAGGTGTGTAAGGAAACAGGCCTGTGTGGGTGCTAAAAGGTACAGTTTTACCCAAATCCAGTTCTGATTTGCTGTATTAAATGGAATAGCTCTCATCAACAGACATTGCAGAGACTTGCAAATCCACAGAGATTTTTCCAGAGTGGAATCTAAATCAATACCTAACATGACTAGAACATAACATTTTGAGATACTTATATGAAGCAGTACTGATAGCTGTGTTACTTTTGGTTCTTTGGCTGGAAAAATACCAACAGATAATGGAAATGCACTGTTTTGGAAGTCCCACTTTTCCATAGAGGTGGTAATGAATTAATTTAAATCATTTCAGTTAACAGAAACTTGCTCTTTCTTCCTCTTTTTCAAATTGCTGCCAAAGGGATATAAGTAGAGAGCTGCCCAGACAGCCTACCAGATACTTGCTGAGCCTGTGCTGAAAAAATTTCAAAGATGACAGAAAAGGAGCTGTCCAGTTCAAAGTCAACGTCATGCAGCCCTGCAGGAGAGTAGCACAAGTGGAAATGCAGAAGCAACTGTTTATTCAAAATTCAGGAAAACCATGACATCTAACACCTTCAGTAAGAATGCTGTTGATCGATTAACAGAAATGTGCAACAGGATTCTTGCTGGGTACATCAATAACCATCCAGGAGATCTGATAGCCAAAGGCAGTGTAGAAAGTCAAAGAGATTATTAATCCCTAAAAGATTTAATAGGCATTATTTTTACTGCAACCAAACTAAACAGGAAAAGCAAAATCAAACCAACTTATTATCTCTCTAGGGCTACACGGTGACATCTTAGTGTGGCATACCACAAATAGGAAGATTGAGGGATTCTATAGCATATCAAAGACCAGATATTAGTCAGTCTGGTAATTTCAATTGCTAAATAACATTTTTTTTTTTTAAATTTGGGTTAGCAGATAATAACAGAACACATCAGTTATTCTCTATTCATAAATTTTACTGATAATATCATAGCTACATTCAGAGAAAACAAAATATATTCCTATCTCCTAAATTAAATATATCGTAAAGCATTCTTTATTACTTCTGTTAAATCAAAACATTTATTAAAAGATATGTCCAAAATTCATAAATACTCTAGAACATAAACATTTCAAGTCTAATATATTTGCCACCCCAGGGCACTTCTCATTTGTTCTCCTCACTCTTCTTAACTGACCAAGTAATTTACGTGAGTAATGAAAATAATCTTATTTGCAGTTTTTCATCTATTATTCAATAGCTAAAAGGAAAGTAAAAATCACCGTTTCTATCAATAATTCAGCTTCAGTGCTAATGCAGCCATTCAGCTGCCCCCCTCACCCCCTCACCCCTCATACATTTTTAATGCTTAGGCTCTTTGTTAGGATGTCACATGTGTGAATCATGGTCAGAAACACAGTGATCAGGTGTGGGGAGGTCAACTAAAGAAAATATTCCTGTTGCAAACAAAACAAATTAGACTGGAAGGACTGTAAAGAGCAACTGCATGGTAGGGTACTCAAACGCTTGACTCTTCTGGAGATTTGAAAGATGAAGTCCAACTGCTAATGCTGCCTTGACAGCTCTGGCTCGTAAAGAACCTGGAGCTCTCAGCAGCCCTAGTGAAGCGCCAAACACACTTCAGGCAGCTTTGTCTGATGGTACAATACAGTATGTGTCCTAATTCAGCCTCTCCTGCGGTTACTGTTACTGAGTCTATCTGGATCCAAATGCAGAGGCTGGGACATGTGGTCTCCCCAGAGCACTGCAGACAAAGGTCAAGGATCTGATGACAGCAGTGCTTCCCTCAGCCAATTTTTTACTGGTTTGGATGGTACCGTAATTTGGATACCTGCCACTAAACTTCAAACCTGGACTGTCTGGACCAGATCTCAGCTTCTAACGAGTCTGCCTGGTCTCTTTAGCTTTACTTCCAGAGGCATTTGTAGAGAATTGCACTGTAAACACCACAACAGCTTTGAAAGCCCCAGGTGTATGGATGACTTCCTCAGTCTACCTGTCCTACGACCTGTGAATCAGGCACTTGCAAGAAAAACAAGAACTTTGTTAGCAAGGTTTTTTCATCTGGTAATAATCCGGTGTAATTTTCTTTGGAAAATATTAGCATGTCAAAAGATCTCTCCATGGGGGCAATACAACCTCAAACTCAGACAGGCACCATCTCCTCTTAAAGGTGGCACAGAAAACGCCTCTGAGTTGACCTGGAGAGAGCTATGAACTTTTAGATTTCTCCCGTGAAGCAGTGAATGCTGCTGTTATTTTTGCATGACTTCCCATTCTGTGGGATGAAGAGGTTCTGGCAGAGATGGGACCCTTCCCACGTGTTCCTGGAATAATACATTACTCCCCCAGTATGAGAGGCTGCCCCCGGTCAGGCTTCATTCCTCTGCTGAAGGGTGGACAAGTTGGTTAGAGTTCTGAACTGGAAATGGTTCCATTATATTTTTACCTCTTTGAAAACTCTACATGACCCAACACTTTTTATGACAGAAAAAAGTGAAGGATGTGCCTTATTTCATCATGGCTCAAAATGAAACCAGTAAAACAGTATGTAACACTTGGCAATTTCTCTCTAGCTCTATTTCTTGCTGTCTGGCCTTCTTCAATGAGAAGAAGTGAAATTATTTTGTTCCTGAGAGTGTAAGCATTTATATAAAATCTGGAATTGTTCCAGATGGAAAGTTATGCTTGTTCCTCTGTGTGTCACATCACTGCTTCGTATAGATTTCCATTCCAGTGAGGCTTAGCAAAAACTTATACAGAGCTATATAATTGTTGCTTACTACCAAAACAATATCACTATAATTGGCCTTATAAATACACTAAAGAGGTAAAAATGAGCATGACTTTGTAAGCTATAGTATCAAGTTGACCATAAAGACTATTCAGTCAAGAGTAATTTTCAATTTGAGTTTTGCAAAATCAAAGAATGAAGGTCATGTAAACATTTCTGTTGCTGCCATGTCTACATATTCCAGACCCAGATGTCTGACTTTGTTCCCCTTTACCCTCCTTCTCCCTTCATGTTAAGTGCTATAAAAAATGAAGATCAGGTTTTGGGTCTGTACTCCAAAGAGCTAGAAATGATGTCTAGAAATGACAGTGCAAAACAAATGCCGACAGATGGGTACAGACAGATGGAAGAGTACAAGGGAAATGAGAGAGTATCAGTCGACCCATCAGAAACGGAAGTGTCATCTAGGTTATCATACTTTAGGGATGGACTTCCAAACACAAGAAGCCCCATCGGACAAAACATTGTATTTCTTCTTCAGAAACGTAACAAGGAGACAATGGAGACTGGTATTGTTGACTAATCATAAACAAGAATGAATATTTAGGTAGATTAGGATACAACTCACAGGATAGAGATTGGCCTTCAGAAGTCTTGGAAGGGAGGTCAACCACCAAATGATGGATGTTATAGAGTAAGAGAAATGAGAGAAAATACACAAAGCGACAGGTATTTGGATTAGCATAACCAGACAGAAAAATATCATCTTTGTGACAACATTCTGAGTGGATATGAACAGGCAAGACTGTGCTTATCAAGGACAGAGGAAAGGAAAATTTTGATACCTTGGAAGTAATGTGAACAGAACATGAATAGTCATATGGTGAAAGGATTTTATGCACAGAAGAGATCAGATGCAGACACAGTCTGGATGTGAGAACAGAGAGAGAATTTTGAGTCAAAGAGCACTGCAGGATAGCGGGCTGTATGCAGGAAAAGAAAAGGTGTTGGCTCAGGAAAATTAATTGCAAACATACTTAGACCAGTTTGATATTTACTAATGATTGCTGACCCTAACTTTAGCAAGTCAGCAAATATACCACAGATGTACAACACAGATGATACAGGATTCACTGCAATCCAGACTGACAGTACCCTGCAGACACAGCCAGCTGTACATAGCAATCAATGAGCCAGATGCAATCCTAACACTAACTGCCTGTAAATGATATCTTTTTTAAAAAACTGAGGAATATGACTGTATTGCATTCATTACCATTTCAATTGACAGCAGCACAAAGCATCACCGACAAGATTCAAATGACTATCCAATAGAAATAATCTGAAAGGCTCATGATAGCTAGTGGAAGAGATTATTTACAGACTATTTTGTTATAGGCTTTCTATTTGGCAAAGATTTTGCACATGTGAACTTGTCCCATGCATCAGACATACGTCTGTGCAGGCAGCTCTTTCACAAAGAGAGAGAAGAAATGTGTAATGGAGTCATGGAAAATTGATTTTCTGACTGTGACCTTGAATCAGAGGTTGAACATGAGCTGTGAAGCAGACAGTGAGGATGGGAACAAGCTGCAGAGAGCAAAACTGCAAACTTTGGCATCAGACATTACAGACAAATTCTTACAGCCTGACCCTGCCCCCATAATCAAGTGCAGCAAGCATGTGAGGATATTTTAACTTGCAGGGACAGTTGGGTACTTATGAAAGCACAACAGAGCTCAGACACTTTTTCTTCATCCTTCAGAAGGATGTTATTCAAGTCACTTGTGATGAAAAAATTTTAAAAAGGAAGATAACTTTCTATACAATATATTGGTTATTTTATCACACTGTGATAATCTTTTCTTCACATGTTCACAAAGTACTTCCACTAATCCATCTTCGGGTCTGAAATCTTTTAGGATGGATCTGCAGACATGAAAAGATTCAAAGAAAGAATGTAGACATGAAGGTAGTGAAAATCACTGGTCTATGGTAAACTAAATGTGATGCAGTTAAGAAAGGCAGGAAAGTGGCTGCCTAGCATTTGAAGTTTGTCGCTGAACTATGGGGACAGAGACAAACTGATCCGAACCGTTTGTTCAGAACTGCAGAACAACCAGGGACCACATTACTACATGACTATGTTTCTCCAGCAAGAAGCTGTTCAGGAGGCTCTGTCTTTGTTTTCTTTCTGTGCCTTTTCTGTTGTGTAGCTTGGGGAAAGAAAGGGCTAGCAAGTTAAACTGGGTCCACACTCAGAGCTCTTCGTCATCACAGTATTATGTACTATAATACTATGCAGTATATTATGCTGGCACAGCATTCTAAGGCAGATGCAGCTTATAATAGCAAAAAAAGTTTTTACTGTATAACTCCTTGATTCCCTGAGAGTGACAAGTTGATTTTTTTTTATACGGGTGGCTTCTGGCAGCATTAATGTTTGTCAGGTCACACCGCATCGTGCTGATGTGTGCATAACTGTGTCATAGCAAAATCTATAGTACAGTCCTGGCTTTGAGCTACAGAGGAACCTCTGCTCTACCTAAGAAACACTGCTTTTGCTTCTTAACAGCTCTAGAGTGCCATAAAAAGGCCGGAGAAGGACAGGGGGTGTGTACTTTATTTCCTCCCTGTCTAAAGCTCATTCTGACTCAGGCTGAGAATTTGAGTTCTACAAGCAAGCAAAAATACACAGTGTTCAGAGACATAATATTACACAAAGGACTAAGTTACAGCATCAAGATCCTTTGGCCCTTGTGCTGAGTTCCTGTTAACTTGCGGGGCACCAGCACAGCTGCACTCCTTCCATGTGGGTGGTCAGTCTTCAGCAGGACTGAAATCCAACCTAGTATTGCCAGTAATATTGCAAGTTTCCTACAAAATGTGCTTCGGAATAGAAATCATAGTACTTTTTTTTTTTTGTTATAGTGCAATGGTGTGCTCGAGGGACTATTCAGAAATGATACATGCCCTGAGAAACTGAGGTGACCAGGAAATAAAAACTCTTCCTGCAAAATATTTTGTTTTAAAAAAATTGGGCCCATTCATGAGTACAGTATTTTAAAACCATATTCTTCATGGAAAGGGAGTTTCTGAAAATCTCCATGGCAGACCACTGCGATATATTATGTCTGGTTTGTGTGTGCTGCTTATGATCGAGTCTGCTCTACTATTTGGCAAATCATCTAGGCAGTAAGGCATTTTTCCTGTTCTTCTGGAAAGATTTTTTTTGTTCCAGTAAAACTGAATTTCCACAAAGAATATTTAAACTTTTAAGTGGCATATTCCCCATCTGAAAATCATTCCATCAGAAAATTCCCAGCTAACTTCTAATCTACACAGCCAGCTGGAGCAATTAGCTCTGCGCAATAATGCTAAAGCAGAGTTATTAAATAACCTTGGCATCAAAGTTACAGCAATTCAATGGCCAGGCTAGACGAGGAATGCTTCAGGGCATTCCCTCACGGTAGAAACTGCTCCTGTACAGAGCCTGCCTCAGTTTCCCTTTCCCAGTGTCTGCTTAAATCAAGGTGGGGTTTTGGGGGTTGTGTTGGTTTTTTGGTTTGTTTGTTTGTTTGTTTGTTTGGGGGGAGCATTGTAGTCTCTATTGATCTCTTAATTAATGCTGTTATTAGGCTTCCAGTCCTGACTTCCTTGAGTTAGAATCTCCTCCTCCTCTTTCCCTTCAATTGCAATCAGCAGGCTTTTCTCCTAGCTTGGGGAGTCCGTATTAGCCCAATCTTCCTATACTAATCACCCTCAGTTCTGATGCTGCTAAAACAGACATATTCTTGTCCCAGATGAGAGAAAGAGAAACTTTATAATCCCATACTATAAAATTCTTCATCCCAGGCCTTTAAGGGGCCAGTGGCCCTCCATTCTAACTTGCCCATGACATTAATAGCTCCCAAGACACTCTTCTCTCTAGCAAAGGCCACATCAAATGTTTTTAAACAGATTTCCTTAGGCACATGAGCAACTGATCTTGCAAAACATCCCTTCTGGCCTTAAAGGGCCAGCGTTCTGCTGCAGTGAACAAAAGATTACAATATGTTCCTTAGGTAACCTCTAGAAAACCGTACGGTTCGAAAAGGAGAACAATTGAAAAATGGAAAGCATGTACTGATACAGAGAAATGACCACTTTCCTTGCAAATTATTTACTTATAGCAACGTATGATGATTTCTGAACGTTGTCTAAGAATCCTGCTTCTCCAGACCTGTTTTGTGGATTCAGTGTAGCTCACCAGACAGCTTGGGGATTGGCTATGATAAGGGAGTAGCAGGTAGCCCGGGGGTAGGAATTAAAAGGACAACTCACCGATAGCAGAAGCAAAGCCCTGAATGGGCACTTAGGCAAACCTAACCTTGAACAAAAGGACTCAGATGCTATCTAGAGAGGGTGATCTTGCCGATTTAAGGAGGCATCTTGGCTTTGCTTAACAGCGCATGCCCCAGGGACAGCGGACACTTGAAGAAGAAGACCACGTACTTCTCTCCGTGAATAATTATAATAATCACACCTATTCCCAGAATTAATTGTAATAACCCGGCCCTTCCCAATGAATATGTATATTTTGTTGTAATAAATATTTGGCTACTTGCCAGAGACGGTGTGCAAGCTTTGTGCAGAAATCCCCTTGCACCCCGGCCGGAATAACCGTGCCTGCTTTAGAACTCCATCTGAGTTGTGGAGTTTGTTTCCGCCTGTCAGTACAAGGATTAGAAATTCAACTGATAGAAGTCATACCAGAAACAAGAAAAATCTTCCAACGCGCTTGTAGGCGGAAGGAACTGAAAGTCAGGATATCGTTGAGACTATCCTACGGTTTTAATTTGCAGGTTCAGATAAACTGTCGTGAAAACTGCATCATAAAAGGGGAGCTGACAGAAGGAGCTGATGAATTAAGTAATGCCGGTAAAGGCTGGGCTGATACTTGCCCATAAATTCTAGGGAATCTGCAGGTGAAATAACTGAGCTGCCTAGCAAATATTAAAAAGTCACACATTCTACCAGAGAAACGGACTTAGCAGTAAGGATGGCGACCTCCGAAATTACAGGCTGTGGAGTCCTCCTGCGCTGCCAGGCGCACTGTCAGGACCCGAAAAGCCACCTACCAGATGTGCCAGCCCGCTGCAGCCCTCTCCTCTTCAGCCGACGGGTAGTCCTGCTCTGCTGTGCCACCTTGTGCTCACCAGCTGACAACACACTGCTTCATGAAATCAGATAACTGCACAGTAAGCCCATCATTCAAGTCCTCCTGGCTTAAACTTTCTGAGACCATAATAACGTACACGCCAGGTCACACCGCTACGAACAGGACACATGAATACTAGAATGCTGTACTATCAAAATTCTTTCTGTATTCCTGTGAAGGCCAAGATGCTCACAGATGTCTTCAGATTTTTCAGTGATTACAGGCAGAGTTTTGAGTTCACAGCAATTCGGATCATCGGGTAAGATCTCATTTCTCACAACTGGACATGTCGACATTTCTCACAATTGCTACCAGAGCCACTGTGTCATCTCCTGTCCTTGTCCTCTGAGCTGTCAAAAAGCATGTCCCAGAGCCCAGAGTAGGGGACACACATTAACAACTTCCCTACCCTGTTACCAGCTCTGATGCTGAGGTGTAGTATTTTGAATAAGCAAATCACCACCCTGAGTCTTTTACTTACCTAATTGTAAAATGGATATGGCATTCATTTCACAAGAGTGACAGGGCTTTGGTGTGATTTTTCACAGCAAATGGGACTTTAGAGGTCTGCAAACTACTTTATAAGCTGAAGACAGGGGACACACTAGGAGCTCAGCAGAGTGCATTCTACAGAAGGAAGTCTCAGCAATCCAAGTAGCCCATCAGGCTTTCCACTTAGAAGCTTTTTGCATTTTTTTTTCCAGGCACATGCTAAACCTCTTTGAGTTTTCAGGGACCTCCAACATTTTGGTTAAGTGGGGATTTTCAAGTGCCAAAACTCTCATTTTTGGCAAGCATCCTGAATGACTTGGGGCATGGCAGAGAAACTGTGATTGTTACCAAAAACCTGTAGGAACAACACAGCTTGGGAGTGAGCCTGATAAATTCTTCACTGCAGTCGACCTGGTCTCATCAATCCTGACATACAAAGCCCAACCAAGGAAACATTTATTATGTAAAGTACTGCAGCAAGGACCCGGCTGCCTGAGGCTGCTGTGGCAGAGCCACAGAGATAACGCACCCGGGGACTGGGAGCCTGACATCAGTCAGTAGGTGCCCACGGTGCCCTGGCAGGCCCAGGGCTTCGCCTCCCCGGGGAGCCCTGCATTGCAGCACCGGCAGCAGGGAGTGCTCTGGCAGCTTCCAGGCTGTCCTGTACAGTGCTAGAGGGGGCAAACTGCTTCATCAGTCACTTTTAACCAGTGGAAAAACAGCCTCCAGATCAAGGAAAATAAACTGTAGTAAGCCTATGAATATCACAAATTCCTGTGCTGGCCTGCCAAATACCACTGCAGTATTTGTGTTCTGGATTCCTAATGGATTAGGCCTCCTCCCTGCTTGGGAAGTGTGCCCAGGTCAGGGAGGAGGCCACTCGGAACATGGGCACAAACTGGGGTGCCACTTCTGCTACTGCCTAGGGAAGCTGACGGCTGATTGTGTACAGGAGACCCTAGCATGGGGTTCTGAGTAAGAATAACCACTTAAATATTGAAGGAGTACAGAGGTGTCTTCCATGTCTATAAACTGAAAAGTAGATAAAGACAATATGAGGGCAGTAACTTTTTATTTAAGGACTTTAAGGTTTTTATTATTGGACTGAGAACATATTAAGAGTGAACTCCTGCTGATAGAGGTGAATTTGGTGAATGTGTCCCCTCGTGGGAATGCCCTGCCCTGTTCGTCAGGCAGGCTGCCCTCCTAGGCCTGTCCCATCACATTTCTGTTGCCTCCTCCTCACAATGGGCAGAGGTTAGCAGCTGGCATGAGGGAATCAAGAGTTCAGCAATAGCCATACTCTGAATTACATCTACAAGAACTTGTAAGTCTCAGTACACCAGAGACATCCATTCCAGCTGATCTGATATTATTTTTTAGGAGTACCTTAAGGCAGGTCCTTTGCAAGAACTGTCTGAAGGAGGAGCACGCATATTCTTTCCTCTATTGCTTCATTCAACATCTAATCCTGGACTTCTTTAAATTAGTGCCTTCCAACCCACGAAGCAAGTCACTTAGATGAGCAAAGGACTCTGCCAGGCCTGGAAGAGGGCACATGAATGACATCAGAGAGAAATAGATTTCAAATCTATTTGCTAATTTTTAGTGTCACTGCTGTCTGAGCCAGCAGCAGAGACAGAGATGTCACAGGAAGGGAACGGGAGAGTGTCAAAGAAAGGAAAGACTGAGAGGTCTGATCTAAGTAGGAGGGAGGATGGGAAAGCTGCAGCTGGTGGGAGAATACCAAAGCCAAACAGAACTGATCGCAGCTCTCCATCTTCAGTTCCTCAAGGTCAGGTTCCTCTGCAAAAAGACAGAAACCACTGAGCTGCGTCACTGGGAATAATAATGAAAAAAATATAACCACATTTTTAGGAGTGGTGAGGGCTCTGGGGAGTGCTTTATGTATGAAAATTCAGAAGGTTAATGAAAAATCTCCTGATAAAAAGACACTTGCAGGTAGATGTAGATGGCATATGGTACAAAGTTGACAAGTTACTGTAGACTTGTTTGTCCTCACCACCATGGAAAGCCCATTTTCTATTCCACGAAGAGACACCACTGGTAGCTTTGAAGGGTGTAGTGCAACTACATTGGGCTTTGTGACTTGAAAACAGGATAAAATGAGAGTGGGAGCTGGCATCTGGCTTGGGGGGTGTGGGGCTCCTTTGCTTTCTTGTGCCAAAACTCAAGGCAATGACACTTCACAGCATTTTCATCCTCTACTCTCTAAGAGTATTCGCAATGTGTGTTATGGCAGTAGATTCCTTGACACCCATTAAGTAGAAGTTTTACTGCAGTGCTAGGAAAGATGGATTTTGATGCTAAGCAATGCAGTATTTTGTGACTGAAACACTACTTACTTTAAATCATCAAAAGCAGAAATTCTTGTATCATTGCTAATCTGGCCCTGGTTGCACTCTGGTGGTAGCTATTTTCTATTTCTGGTTTTAGTTATTTTCCTTCATTCACTCTTTCAACAATATATTAATAAATACATCCTGAAATAAATATGTGAACACTTAGGATGTTTTTGCTTATATTGCAGGTGCAACGCTGAAGAATCCATTTGTAGATATGGATGCTGCCCCCCGCCATGTGTAATATAGCATGACATAGTTCCATGACGTTACATCGATATCAGAATCAGCGACGATATCTCTCTAGAGATCCTACCAGAGATGTTGCAGCAGAAAATCATGCTAGCCTATCTAACTGACTAATATAGTTAGGAGTTCCTGACAGCCACACACCCCTGAAGCCATGTTTGCAGATGGTTGGTAACTAATACTCTTTTTTTTTGCCATGACAAGGAGGCTTAAGAAAAAAAAAAGACAGCGTATTTCTGTCTCATTGTGCTACACAACAATTGAAAATACCACTTTATTTTTAAAACATAGGTATGTGAAGAGTGAGCATTCACTTGGGCAGTTGTTATGAAGATGTATATTGGTTTCAGTTGTACTTTTTTTTTTTTAATTTTACAGAAATGCTTTATATAATTTATGGCAACCGTCTAACCATCATAAAGCAACAAGGTTCTAGACTGCAGATTTTCTGCCTGGGGAAAGGTATTTTGTAAACATACAAATATCAGGAAGCATAATATAGTATGCCATATATTCTCCAAAGACATGTGTTTATCATGTAGCAGAAATGTTGAATAGGATAAAGAGGTATACTTGAAAATCACCATCAAAATGATAACTTAGTTTTCATTTTTTTTGTGGCATTCTTGGAGTCAGTTTAACAGAACAGTCATCATTTTTATACCCCATTTTGAATCTGGTCTTGGGTGTTTTATATTCTGAGAATAAATTATAAAAAACAACTATGCCTTGTAGATGGAAACAGATGATCAAATGGTCCCATCTGTCCATGGTATGTTTGAAGAGATTTTAACAACTTCCTCATCTAGTAACCTGCCTCAAATACTATTTTGAGATGCCCTGAGATTTGCTGTCTTGTGGAAAAGTGGAAAAAGGACCTACGAAGCTGAAGACTGAAGCAAGGGAAAAATAATTCCTTTCTGACTCAAGTCTTCTTCACTCCTTGGTACAGAAGAAGGTATCCTTTCTCCTAAAATTCACTGAAGTGGGGAGGAATTAATCTAATTTAGCTTTATTCATGAAGGTAACTGTCTGTGCTGTGTCTACAGTAAACAGAAGATGACAATAACTACAGGGTTGAAAAAGACTGGAAACACTCCACTCTATTAACAATATAAGGTAATAGACATTAAACTAGACCTTAGATTAGATGCAAGAATTCTGATGTCTAAAGTTGATTTCTACATTAAATAATTAAAGAATATATAACCACAATATTAAAATGATGTCTGCATTTTGCAGAATCTGGATTTTAAAAAAACATAATGCATCAAGACTATGATTCTGTAAGAGAAAATCATGTCCACCAGCTATGGTATGCACTTTCTCAGTGTTACTCTGTGATTACCAAGAGAGAGGTTCTCTCTCCACCACTCCAAGACTGCCATTATAAGTCGACTTTCAGAATGCAGTCAATTTACTATAAGTATCTCCTGAAAATATAGATTATAGGTGCCCAAGACCCTCTTCCATGGCACAAAACTATGTCTCTGAAGGCTGCTAAGAATTTGCCATTTAACCTATGACAGCCTGGAATGCCAAGCAGTTCATCATACAGGCATTCTTTTGTGAAACACTAAATGACACACTAGATTTGGGGTAATCAAATAATAATAAACACAGGGCTTAACATTCCAGCAACAGACAGTCTGTACAAGAACTAGCTGTTCCTAACACAAGTGATCCCTTTCCTTTTGTAATTACTACACTAGCCTCCTTCACTATCTTCACTCACCAATACTCTCTCGTTAACAGAGTGCACAGAGCCTCAAGGGAGCAGAGGCAGAATTTCTGAGCCCTGTAGCATACTGCACATCTCTTCCCTGAATTTCAGGTTGAGTAACCAACATCATGGAGGAAAAGAAAGGCAACAGAAGGAGAAAAGACATTTTGCTGTTACATAGCAAAGGATACAGTATTTCAAAAGACACTATTATTTCTCTTGTGTTACAGGCACAGAGCAACAAATGATGTGTCTAACATTATTTATCTCCCAAACTGGTGTTTTCTTTCTCCTGCTGCTGCTCCTCTCCCTGTAAGCCCTACTCATCTGTCAGAGCTACCCAGTCCCTGCTGCTGCTTACATTAAAAGTATCCGTATCCCCTCCCTTGTGGTCTCTGCTCTTCATGCAGAGAGATGCAAACAGCTTCCCTCTGTAGAACTTCTGCACCCTCACTGACTTTAAAGCGTGGTGCTGTGGTACTGTTGGTGCCCAGACAGTGGTTCCCTGAGATACAAACCACAGGGAACGAGTGTAGTGAGGAAGATGGGGTTTTAGGCCTCTTAGGCAGGTCCAGCATTGACACACATAGTTTCACATGCACACCCTTTTGTTGGGGGCGGCAGGGAGGCATGTAGATTGATGAGCCACCTGCAGTTGTTAAGATTATGGACATATCTAGTTCTAGCAAATAAGTGTATTGCACTCTGAGATTCAAAGGTCCTGGGTTCAATCCATGCTGCCAAAAGAACAACTGTGAATCTGCATTACACGGTAGTGCAATGTTGGGGGAAGCTCAAAAATCTTCAGGGCTTAATCATTCTCCAGTTAAAGAACTAACAGAAAATCTACCTCCTCAAGATCATAATGAATAAGGTGTTTACCAAGATTTGCTGTAAATTAGTTTGGAGGAAAATCTTTAAATTAAACTTGTTATATTACACAAACAATATTTCCTTAAGAAATGAAGACATGCTGGTGAAATGAATCCATATATTTGAATATACAATTTCTCATGCAGTGTGTAGCTGCGAGAACAAGTTCCTTCAGCCTGTTTTCAGCCTAACATACTGTCATTCCCCTTTGAAGTTAGATGGCTTTTTAATTTTTAAATGGATAATACAGAAAATTAAGATGAATTATGAAAAACCTTGCACAGACTTTTGTGCTTACAAAATTTCAGATCAGCTTCTAGGAAACTGCTCAACTATTTCCTGTCCTGTTTTTACAAGAATGGAAGCACTGACCAGTTGTGTCCACACATAAGAATAATAATTAAAAGAAGAACAATATCATCGTGTTGAAACAAACTGTGAAGAGGAAAAAAGATCTTTTTTCCCATTTCATGGTTCACTAAGATGTAGAAAAACATTCTGGAAAATTTATTTTTTAAAAAGCTATATTTTGTTAAAGATGTCAATCCTTGATACTCCTTTTAGCTCACTGAAGCTTCAGAAGTGTTTTGGGAACTCCCAGCACACAGACCAGCTACCTGAGTACCCTTAATAAAACCCCACTTACTGCTTTGAGTGGAAAGAGCACTCACCCCTTTCCAGAACTGGAGTGTAAATAATCTCATACTAGTAAAAATGTCTGGAAAAAAATATAGGAAGAAATATCAGACCCACATGAACTGACAGGTAAATGTTCCTTCCAAAAGCAAAGCATTAAAATGATGTTCAGGTATTCCAGTCAAGTGTAAGTGATGTGAGCTTAGAAACGAGTCCTAGAGTAGTGTTTTGCTTCACTTACAATATTTCGTTGTTCTAAGTAAGTTGGAGCATTTGGTGGCAAGATATTGTAAATGCTTATGCTTTGCAGCAAATGCACAGGATGCACCATAAAGTTGCAAGTAAACTGAGGGATTTTTAAGAGAGAACACTGTTACATATTCCAGATTCTATTTAATGAAAAGGATAAAGGCCAGTGGCACTCTTGGATGGACAATGCACATGCGTGGTACATACATGTATACATGCAGAATGAGTGTGTATACACATTTAAAAAGGAGGTTTGTGCAAGCTTGTTAAATTCAAGAATAGGGAAGAAATCTGAAGCAGGTACTGTCTAAAAATCTAAGTAGCACATTAATAAAATTTTCAGTACGTATATGATTTACTATGTAACTAAGATACATGCATTTATATGCTGTTTAACATATTTTGTTAACTATTTTTCATATATGTCATATCTGATGTACATATGTTTTATGTATTATATTTTAGTTACCATATTCTACATTACATATTAAAGTCACTTGGATTCTATGTTGTTTGATCTCTAATCAACATTGCTTTACTGTTTTATATGACATTAATGAATCACTATTTTCAGCACTGCAAATTCGTTATTCAGCAAAAAGCCCTACTGCTTGTGAAGAATTTATTAATTTTTTTTAAATCCCCAGTCTGTATCAGAGGCTTATAGAGGCAAAATTCACTATTTCTCTAATTCTTCTACTCTGTGTAGGAGAACCTGGCTTATCCATCAGTGAGCACTGGGAGAATCAGAATACTGAGATCAAAATACGACCTACTGTAATCATATCATGAAGAAGTTAGGAGATTATCAAGTGTATGTCATTTGGAAAGTGGATTAGTTTCTAAATATAGACACATTGCATTGAGAAGTGGCATGTTTAAGAAGGAGAGAAGTGCTCACCTCTCTGAGGAATTAGTCCTGATCTAGCTATTTAACAGAAGTTCATCCCTACCCTTTGCAACATGCTTTATAAATTAGCTGGTATCCTCTTTGAAAAAAGTACTAATTTCCAGACGCATCTTAAAGTGTCCCATCTTTATAGATCTTAACTGTCTGAAGAAATAAAGAAAATAAATTAAGAGTTAAATCTGACATAAGAGAACACAGACTACAGTTTGAAACAACGCTAGGTAGATATACACGTTATATTTGCCTTGTCTTTCTAACCGTGGGAAACCATTTAAATAAAAGGATATTTACAAATACTTCAAAACATCAGCAGGATAAAAATGCATCATTTTTTAAGTTGAAAAACCACAATTCTCAATTTATTTTTCTGCTGTCGTGTTTTAAATACAATTTAAATACAACTATCAGCTTTATAAATACTTTAATACAATGCAATAAGAGCTAGCAGAAAAGTTTCTTCAATTGTTACCACAAAGAGACTATTTAAAAGCAAATTGTTCACTACTATTAAACTATTGTTAACCCATAGTCTATCATAGTTTCAGATTCATTTACATCCAGACATACAGTGCAAGTGCCATCTGAACTTCCGCAAGCATTATAGTTTGTTTTCTAATGTGGGAACTCCAAACTGACTCTCTGTGATGCCGATCACCACAACATTTCCTCTTGAAAGTCAATGAGTCCTCAGAATGCTAAGCAGGTCCCTGAATAGTAACTTTACTATTGGGTATTTAAATGGATTCAGTCATAAGCATCTATCACTCAATTACAAGGACTTTTGTTAATATAATTGTATCCACACGTTAATGTTCTTAAGAAGAAAATTGCAGAAAGGGAAGGAAGAAGGCCAATCTTTCCATCATGGAACATCAATACACTGAAAGCTGGTAGAACCTGAAATTCAATAGTAACCATGTTGTTTGAAAAGTGGATTAGTTCCCTGATGTGCAGTAGGTCAATAATCACTCAGGAGAGACATTGCTTATTTATCTTAGGGTTGCACAAGCCTAGGTGCTCCGTGGTTTCCACAAATCAAGCACACTAACGGGACTTTTTGTGCTATTTTTATGCACAAAACCTGCAGAGGCAGTAATTTTTCAAGTCCATCCTCTCTACAATGATTGGTTAATAATTTGCATACAATTATAATACTGCTGACACCGTACTTCTACTACTATTCATGCTCAGGGGAAGGGTCTTCA